ACAAGTCGTTTTATTTGTAATGAGGACCTTAAGTACCAATATGGGGCATCCATCTGGATGTGACGGCAGCCAGTCTGGGCTAGTGCTCTCACCACGAATCGGACATCACAGCGATGCGTTGATGAAGAGGAGACTCATATGAGGCCATAAGCAGATGGAATGAAAATGTTTTAAGTGGGGATGTTGGCAGCGGTACCAGACTGATATGGCTCCCAAGTTGTTTGTTAATTTACTTTTATGTAGCAAAAAAATGTGTAGAAGAGCATCATCCAAAAATTAGCTGCGTGTTCCAAAATGCTCCTTGGAAGCTTTAGGATTATATAAAAAAGAAACTTGCTACATCTTGAATATTGAGTTTAATGGTGCAAAATAATATTAATTATTAAAAAAAATGTCTTATTCAGTATTTTAGTCTTGTTATCTCTGGAAAAAAAATATTAAAGGGGTCATATGATGCGATTTCAATTTTTCCTTTCTCTTTGGAGTGTTACAAGCTCTTGGTGCATAAAGAAGATCTGTAAAGTTGCAAAGACTAAAGTCTCAAATCCAAAGAGATATTATTTGTAAAAGTCAGCCACGCCTGCCTAAAACGGCTCGTTCTAACATGCCCCCACATATCTACATCACTATTTGGGCGGCGTTATGCAACTCTTCCCACATCTTCACGCAAAGAAAGAAGGCGTAACTTTTATTCTTGGTGTAGTATTCCTGGGTCGCCATGGCCGCCGCCATGTCGTGAAGGCGCTGTGTGCTTCGTTGTGAAAGCGAAACTACTTTGTTTGGCCTTCCAAAAGAGGACGATATCGCTTTGTCATGCCTGGAGCTGATCCGTGCTGGTCGGTGAGGGAATACTTCAACATCGCGCTGTGCAAAGTACGATTAATTATTTTACTGGGAAACATGACTAAAATACTAATTAAAAGTTTTTTTTTTTTTTGCTGTTGTAGTGGTTGTTCATGGCAAATACTATAGCTTGTTTCTCATATTTACCTAGAGTCAGAATGCAGTAGACATACCCAGTCATACGCACACTCAAATGCTGTAACCTTTATGTTATGCTGTGAGTTAGACTGACCTATTTTAGAGCTTATCGTCATTGCTATGATATAAATGTTTGCAGTATGAGCCTTCATTTTATCCTCAAGGTAGGATTTAAAAAAAAAAAAAAAAGAATATTAAAAAGGGAAAAATGAAAAAAAAAAAAAAAAAAAAATATTAAAAAGGGAAAAATGACACGCTTATCATAAATAGATGTGAACCTGCTGGAATCTGACCTGGCAGCAAAGAAATTAGGGCTAGTGCACTTCTTGTACACAGTAAATCATGTCTGTTGTTCATACAGCATTTAGCTTTGATAGCCGAGACACAAGATTGTCTCAACCTGAGAGTTTTGTGAGATAAGTGGATAAAGCGCTTCAGTGAATGAAATCTTTTTTTTTCCCTTCTTATTCTTTCTGACACTAAATGTCAAGGAAGTCGACAAATATGGAATAACATAACAGGCGACAAGCAATGTCCATTTCAGCAGCTGTTGGAACATGAACTGGAAAACACCTGTAAGAGGCAGCAGAAAAGAACCATAAAATATAAATGTGGTTGGAAGTGACCCAGTTTCTGGGGTCACTGAGCAGGTCTGTAAAATATCTGGAGAAAGTCATCCGTTAGCATTCACATTCATCTCAACGGCAGCTGTTTGTCTGGTGCAGGACCCTGCAGATTTGAAATCTGCCATCTTTGCTCATGGCAGCTCATGGGCAATAGATGTTTTGAGCCAGCCACCGGAATTGAAAAGCCAAGTGACTATGACTCTGGAAAATAAGCGACAATCCTGAGCTGCAGCTGAAAAATATAAGCCCATTTCACACTTTTTAAGAATCCACCCTAAATAAATAAATTAAAAACAAACATTGGGCAATGGTAAACATCTATACTTTAATAAATATTTCTAATTATACATTGTTGCACAATTTATTATTATTTTTTAAGTACATAAAAAAGACAATTAAACTGTGAAATACCAGACAAAAAATACTATCGCATTATATTGGTGGCAAACTGTATTAAAAGCACACTAATATTATACTCAGACATTATAAATAACCTAAGCAAAAAAATAATATTACTACAATAATCATCCTTTCTATTCTTTCAGCAAGAGTTTATGCCAAATGCAGCAGTGCATGTCTGCATTTTCACTCTGAATGGCGTCAACTGATGCGTTATCTTTCTCTGGAGAAATGGATTCCCGAAGTACTGTACAAATTCTAATACTGGAGGAATTCATCACCATTAGCAGCATGACTGACACAATGCCAGCCGCTCTCGTTTAGATGACAACCAGATCTCTTGAGATATTTGTGTGTGTAATTGTAAGCGAAAGAGAGAGAGAGAAATTCATGTCTATTGTAAGTTTGCCAACCTATCGTCTTAGGTCTTCAGCATATGGGCTGTTGGCCTTTTTCGGTTAGATGGTAAATTTCAACATGCTATACAAAAAACAAAACAAACAAAAAAACAGCTATGGGCACAAATGTAGTTAACAAACAAAATCCAGCAGTGTGACAATCAAACCTGCTATTATACCTCAGATCTCCCTCCCTCCTTTTGATTCATTCCAGAGCTCTCAATGGCTACATTCACACAGCAGCAGAATACAGTTGTCAGTCCTGTTCTAAAGAGCTAAATACAATTCTTTTCATACTCATTTTAGTTAAAAAAGGAGAGTGACAACCACATTCTATAAAAACAAAGTGGCCTAAATTTGGCCAAACACTAATTTGGTTAAAATGTGCTGTATAAATGAAGCCACAGTCAACTGTTGTGTTATTGACATACAGACAAAATGTATTTTTCCACATCTAACAAAGACAAATATTTAAATAAATAAATAAATTACAATTACTACCTGCCATGATTTTTTGCATTATATATATAAGAAAATACACTCTGTTGCTATAACTACATAATTATTTAGCCGCTTGTTTTATTGCATAAAAAGCACAGGTCATTGTGCCACTTGAGATGAGTCAGTCTCCATCTTTGAAATTGCAAAATTGCACCTGTCCCAATTTTTAAGATCCATGTTAATGAAGCATTATGAAATCATTTACTTACAGTTTATAATGCAGCTGCAGTCAGATCTAGTAGTACTGCTTCATCTTTCAACATTTTTTTCTTTGTGAACTCTCCAAGACACTGTGCCTCTTTTACAAAACAAAATGCTCCGAACAATCCTCAGACACAATCTGCAGTGCCATTAAAAACAAACTACCCACTTGTTCCTTACGCTGGGACCTTCTGATATCTGTACAAAGACGCGAATGTGTGACGTGAGCGGTTTAAACCATACGCATCAAAGCGAACATTTTTTCACTCCATTTGTCCTATTGACTACAGACTCAAGTGCGTGGACTGTGTCAGAAAGCAAATGCGCATCTGTATACTGTATCCAAGATAGCGGCAGTGATTGTAATTTCTATTTGCATTTAACGCGATGCGACACTCGTATTTAGCGTAATCAAGTGTAATCAAGCGACTGAACGCCAGTGGCCTATGGTGAGAAGACTATTCATCGAAGTCTTGCTCTGGCAGCATTGTTTATGCAAGCGACTGTCACCTGGCACCCTTAGATCCAAAAAGCCGTTTTCTGAGGGTTATTACATTAATGCTTTTTCTTTTATTGATGATGAGAACATTTTAAGTTATGAAACTTGCAGGATGTATTAAGCATACAAAGACCTCTTCTTCAAAAGATCAAGAGAAATTTGGTTCCTCTTCAGGAACTCGAGCTGCGTCGCCAATTTTTAAGATCCAATGAGATGTTCTTCCGTTTATTTTCATTTTTGTGGCTTATTCCTATAAATACATTTTGTATAAATAAATAAATTCCAATACATTTTGGATGGTGACATATATGACCTTTAAAGGGGTCATGGCATGTATATATATATATATATATATATATACAGTATGTATATGTAATACAGAAATGCGGTGCAAATACTCACAACACAACCAAATACCGAAACGCGGTGCAAATACTCACAACACAAACCAAATACAGAAATGCGGTGCAAATACTCACAACACAACCAAATACAGAAACGCGCTGCAAATTCTCACAACACAAACAAAGAAATGCGCTGCAAATACAAAACAAACAAACAAAAACAGAAACGTGCTGCAAATATGTGCAGACCACATCGGAAATGTTTAAGGGAAGCATGTTTCTTTGTTTGTGTTGTGAGTATTTGCAGCGCGTTTCTGTATTTGTTTGTGTTGTGAGAATTTGCAGCGCGTTTCTGTGGTTGTGTTGTGAGAATTTGCAGCGCATGTGTTGTCAAATTGATGAAGATGTTTTCTTAATTTGCAGGTGTTTTTCTATTTGCATGTGTGTTTTTTTTTTTTTCATTTTTCATTTGCAGCACGTTGAGCTCTCTCGGCCACCGTACATGAATAGACCCTTTAATAGACAGTTTATATGTCTGATCTGAATCGCTATTATTTACATCAATTAGTCATATTATTAGTATTATTAGTAGTAGTAGTAGTAGTAGTAGTAGTATTATAAATGCAATTGCAATTATAATGTTACTAGCCAAATAATGAATTCTGTCTTCTCTACCAAAACCAATTCTGACTCACATTTGGTGCTTGGCGAGTGCTAATTTTGGACCCTGCCAACAAGGTTTTCTTAATTTAGACACCCCAAAAATTTATTATAAAAAAAAAAGAGCAGCTTCTGACTCACATACTCACTTTTTCTCTCTCCCTCGAGTAGAAAAGTTGGAGGAACTCTGTGGTTACCAGCCTTGTTGTAAATTGGAATTGAATCCCATTATTAAAAGCAATTGGATTTAAGGTGAGCCACTTGAGTGGACAGATCGTGATTTAGACACTAATTAATCATAGAAAAAAGTTTGAAGATTATGCAGGAAGATAAGACCATTAATTCTGGGACGTGAGAGTTGTGGGTGAAGTCTGCAAAGGTCACACATGACAGCGTTTTAAGGCTCCGACTTTAATGAGAGAGAAATGGATGAGAGACTGTGCGGACACAGCATTTATTAATACAATGGGAACGAGGCCAGAGCTTTATTACAGCACTGTGTTTGTGTGCGAGAATGTAAGTGCGTATGTGTGAGTGTTCATTACGTCAAGTGCGAGCGTGTGTGTGTGCGAATAAAAAGAACAGGAGTTTGCGTGGGTGAGAGAGAGAAAGACGCGACTATGGACATGAAACTTCAGCTTGTGACCTTTACGTTTCCCCATCCGTGATCCATGCTTCATTTGAGAAGGGGTAGAATGGGCTGTTACTCTCGCTGACACTAATATTTCTCTCTCTCTCTGTCTCTCTCTTGAGTGTTTCATCTAAAGCAACGGGTTCATCTTGTGCACCCTGTGGCGGCAGATGAGCACTTTTCACTCATGACACGTTTTCTGAATCACAGCCACATGTGAAACATGAAATATATTAGGGCATGTTACCTCTGCAACCTGAGAGAGAGAGAGAGAGAGCTTGAGGGGTGTGCATGAGGATTTGTGTCAAGTAGAAGAGCAGACGCTGAGTCTACGTTCCGTCACACCTGTCTGAAATGGAAGAGAGAAAGAAGAGATATCATGGTTTCTTCCCCTTCAAACATCTGTGCGGTAAACTGAGGCGATTTAAAGCAGGAGTGTTCAAACTTTTTGAAACCACGGGCCCCCAAATGTGATGATTGTCTTGCAAAGGATCCTTCCTTCCTAAAATATAAAAGCAGTTCCCGTGTTCCCATTTGTGCTGTGAAAGAAGAATGAGGCAGTTATTAATGTCAAATTAGTTAAATCTGAATGTATTATTATTAGTAGTAGTATTATTATTATTATTATTATAAATGTATACATTAATATTTTATTAAATTATTATTATTATTATTTGTTACGATGACCATCTGGAATGCTCTGGTTGTCCACTAGAGGGCACGCCATCCCAGGTCTTTTCTGCCTCACAAACTACATGTCCCAATATCCTTTGCCATATCTCATCACAGATTGTCCACAGCTGTTTTTCATTATCTCATTACCTCTGCCTATATAAGCCTGGTGTTTTCAGGCCATGTCCACACGTACATGGGTATTTTTATAAATGGAGTTTTTCCTTCTTCCGTTTTAAAAAAAATATCCGTCCACATGAAAACGCAAACGCATGCTATGAAGCACTGTCAAGATCATGCCAAACCAACAGGTGGCGTAATCTCAACCGTAAATCCATGTTGGCCAATCAGAAGCCTGAAAAAGTTTCCAGTAGGCGGAGATAACAGCGCAGGCTCCGACGTCACAAGCCAAAAACTCCGGTTTCACTGTCTACACGATAACACTGCAACAAAAAAAGTGGTTTTAAAAATAACCGCGTTCGTGTGAACAGGGCCTCAGTCTCTCTTTGTGAAGTCTTGCATTGTCATACTTCGTCTCCTAGTTCAGGGGTGTATTCCAGAAAGGAGGTTCAACAAACTCTGAGTTAAAACTTGAACTCTGAGTTGACTTACCCTGAGATGGGAAAATCAGAGTTTTCGGTTTCAGAACAGCTAAATTGTGTTAGTTCAGTCGACTCTGAGTAGGCTGACTCTGAGTTTAGCACATGCACCACGACTATGAGAAGTCATGATCAATGGAGCTCCAAAATTATGATTCACCATGGCAACAGCACC